GCTATAACTATATAAATAATAGCTTTTCTGCAAACATTTCAATATCTGGAAAAAATGCTATTTATAGCAAGAGTAATAGCCAAAAAATTATATAAATGGATTTTTGGTGTAAAAACATTGATAATTTGCATGTAAAACACTTTTGCACAGTTGGCACAAAAATGGACCACTTGTGCCGAATGTGCCCATTAGTTACAAAAAAGCCCCCAGCATCAAAATAGTTTCACCTAAAGGTCTAAAATTTCATACAGGTGTTTCCAACACCACAAACATCTGCTCTGGTGAGTTTGAACATCATACCATAAAGTATGTCTTCAGAAGAACCTTTTGAAATTGCCTTTTTTTTTTCGAGACAAAAAAAACTAACTTTGACTCATGTTTGAGAAGCTGTAGTGCAGACTGTGTCCTTCCTAACAAACTGTAACATACATTTTCAGAAACTAGAAGGTGTTACCTTTCAAATGAGGCATCATAACACAAAATCAGACACAAGATGTCCACACAATAAGCATTTCCATTTGGGTATCATAATTCGAGAAGGAGCAGGCGAAATTAGGTGATCCTTAAAGGGTTAACAACGGAAACACTGCGGTCAAAGAAATGATTATCACAGGATTTCTACGGAAAAATGGAAATTATATCAAATCCAGAAACATCAGTGACGTTTGTCTTCTTAGAAATGGTTGGATAAGTGAAAACATTTCTAAAGCGCGGTTACATGGAATTTTATGCTTTAGCCCAGATGTTGAGAGTAATATTGCTACATTGATAACTTTTAAAAAACAGTTTATGAATATATTTGTAAGTAAGATAATCATAATTCTAACAACAATTCCAAAAACAAACTAATTAAACCAGCACTCTTGACAGCTTATGTTGGAACACTAAACCTCCAGTAGGTTTTGGAGTTTGCTCTTGCTGTGACATAAGCCACCCGACTTTCATCACGCCTCCTTTCCCCTTTCTGTTCTGTTTTGTTTGTCTTAAGCACATATTCCCAATCAGAATTTCCGCCCCGCCAGCCTCCTCCTCGGCATCAACCCGCGCTCCTAAGGGTGCAGCCAGACACTTCTAGCTGCAGGCTCCCCCACTTCTGAAACCTGTCAAATCTGTCCTGGGAGAGTCAGCGTTCTCTCATCATCCAGGGGCTTATGGACCTCTCTCTCCATTTACCCTCCCTCTCCCCAACCACCTCCTCCTCTTCGTCTTCGCCGCCTTTTATCTCACATCGAAACTTGCAACCTTCCTTCGCCAAGTTTTGTCTCCTCCATATCTCCTCTATTTTGTCTATGGTGAGTATAGGGGTCTTTTTGTGGGGAAAGGTCTGAGAGCTGTAGCGTGAGAAGGATGGGGTTGGACTGATGTAATAGCAGAGCTCTCAGTCGAGTCTTTTGGGCCAAATCATGTGGATCAAAGTGAAAAATCTTCATAATGAAAGGCAAAATGAAAAAAGCAATATTTTGTATTATTTGCACAGATAAACCGGTGTTGATTGAGATTTCTGTGCTAATTTGGTTAAAAGCTAGTGGATAGCACTCCTGCTTCTCAGCAAGAAGGTCCTGGGTTCGAATCCCGCTCGGAACAGGGCCTTTCTGAGAGGAGTTTGCATATTCTCCCCGTGTCTGCGTAGGTTTCCTCCAGGTGCTTCCACTAAAAACATGCACAATAGGTAAATATTCCAGCTCTGGTCCTGACAAAGCCAGGCTTAAACATCTGGAGATGGGTTCCCGGGTGCTGCACTACGGCGACTACTGCTCCTGGCCAAGGCCCTAGTGGCATTTGCAGGAAAGTTCACTTCAGGGATAAATAAAGTGCACATTTACGTAATAGTGCTTAAGCGTGTTCACAGATGTTGGGTGTGGTTCGCTTTAAATGGACCAACTATGGTTCCCAAATTTTTTTTATATTTAAGTGAGAGTCCACTTCAGTCAGTATATGTTTTTACCCAGTGAACCACATCAACAAGCACAAGTTCAAACATTTACAACAACCTATAGCACCTTGTGTCCATCTGAGACACTATCACATTCTGCTAATTGCAGTCATTATCACACATAGACCTCCTCACAGCGGGCACTGTCCCCAGACTGTCCGACAGAGGGACCCATCTGTCCTGAATACTCTGACACCGCTGTCCTGAAGGTTCCCTCTGCCTGGCTCCTCCCACTTTCCTTTCTGGTCTTCTCCCAGAATGCCTTGCGCTTTCTTCTCCCGGGCCGTGATCGATATGGGCGCGGAGGGAGTGAGGGGGCCTGTCTGTCAAAGCCCGCTGTTGGAAAATGAAGGCTGGGACGAATAAGACATGCTCTGTATATTAAAGTGGCCCTTCTCCCCTGATGGTGGCACTGGAGGATGGAGCGGGCCGGGGAGATATCAATAAGATTCTGGGGAGAGCGCTGAGGAGACAGCTGAATGTAATATGATGGACCAATTGCTTTTGCTTCACTGCTGAAAATCGCAGGTAGCTAAGTCGCTTATGTGGTGATTGTTTTTATGTGTTTTTTTTTTACTGGGGTTAAACCGATCAAAAAGTTTAGGAGGACAATTTTATTCAATGACCAATATGAAGGAATATTGGTCAATGTAAATGTGTATAAACAATGTAAATGTCTGTCATATTCCACAAGATCATAGCTGCCAGTAGATAGAGTTTTGCCAAATAAAAGGTAAAGAACTTTGTTGTGTCCATTAGTTATGAAGAGCTTTTACCACATTGCAATATTTCATCGTCATCAAAAACACACCAGGAGTTGTATTTAGCTTGACCCATGCTGGTTTCACTAATCTTCTGTACTAAAATTTCTTATAGGCCGTCGGTTTCATTCTTAGAACTTCTGTATTTCCTCTCTCAATGTGGACCTCCCCGAAGTTTCTCACTTTTTCCTCACAGGCTTTCGAGTTTTTCTTTGCCGATGCAGGAGGGTCTGTTAATCTTGGATAACACAGGATAACACATTCAACAACATTTATGGACATTTAACAACACTTATGGACATTGGTCATCTACCCCTTATGGACCAATACAAATATCTTTCATGTGTTTCATTCTCTGATCTGTGTTTGTGAATTCAACGGTTGTGTAAAGTCCTCAGAGATAATTACTGTTATGATTTAGGGCTACACAAGAATACAATGAATTGAATTGTATTTTAAAACTATGGTGAGCTTGTGAGAACTTATAAAACCTTGTACCCTCTACATTTTACATTTTTTTTTGTAGATCATGTTCCATTTCCTCCAAAAAAGTGATCATGTTATGTGTCCTCCAATATAATTTGTGTTTGTATTTACATTACACACAAGTTGAGGTCCTAAGAAAGCGCTAGGAAGACTAAAGAGCTGAGATGGGAGAAATAGTGAAGAGCCCAAGTTAACGACTTTGCAGATTTCATTATAGAGATAGTTAACCCTGTTGACACTGAAGGAGGGCGCTATTCTCTCAGGAGGAGTCCGGTCCTTCCACCTCCACGCACACAGACAGATGAGATCATTACAGCTATCAGCACCACTGCCATCCACAATTAGCACGTCTCCTTTTTCCTTACCCCCCAACTCTCCGCACTCTCCCCCCTCAGCTCCCATCAGATCACACAGTCACCCGCCCGCACCCCTCTCCAGTCACCCCGCGACACTTCCACCGCTTTGATTCAGAGGCAATTTCACTAAATAAGAAGCCGCATGCAGCAAACGGCTCTGATGGCTCCGGCCTGACCTCTCCCAAGTCATTTAGAAGCTATCGGAAAACTAAAGTGCATCTTAAAGCATTACCTCAGATTGCATACACAGAGCCCTTTGCTACTATGCTCCATATATGATCGAAGCTGTGGTGATAAAGGTTTTGTGTTCGGATCTTGAATAACTAATGCAGTTGTTCAGAAGTGATGAATGGAGATAAATGAGCGTCCAAACACACTATTTTAGTTGCCAAACTGAGTGCTATTGGAATTTCTTGAGCCACTTGACAAACCTGACTTGCGAGCACCCTGGTAAGTTATAATGGTGCATGCATCCATACCGGAAAGAAATAAAAAATGCTTTCACAATAAGTGCAAGATAGGATTCAATGCCTACGTCATCGTCTTAAAAGATTGAGAGTAAGGCTGTATGATTAATCACGATCAAATCAACATCTCAATGATTGTGGATGCAACAGTATAAGCAGTATTTTCTGATTCCAAATAAGACATATAATCTTTTTCATAATATATTTATAAGCTAAATGTGTCAAAAATGGTTCATTGTATGATTTGTCATTCCAAGGTTTTAAAGTCTTTAGTGTCTATGTTACCGTGGAACCTGCTTTGGAACTACGGCTGAAATGTAGCAGTTATGCTAAGTCTGCTGCATTTGCACTGACGCTTGAGGCATCAATGTTGATGAATGTGCATTGTCCCAACTCAATAAATAAATAACTGAAATTAAAAATGAAAGGAAGAAAGGTGTTGCACAACTCAGGTATGACTATGAGAATATAGTGAGAAAAGATACAATCTACTTAATGAATACATATTTCTTTTGCAGTGATTATTTTATTTGTACTTGAAAACAAATATTTGCAATGAGTGGGGATTGTGTATTAGGTCGTCACTGTTCAAATGTAACAACTGAAGCTTTTAAAAGGATATATTGCAGCCCTAATTGAGAGCATCTGGCTTTGTATAGACACACTCAAAAGACACAATAGTAATACATTTATGACAACCAATACATGGATCTAGAATTTTTATGCTATGACTATTTAAAAAAAAACAAATGCAATTCAAGATGATTTGCATTCTGTAATTCATATGACAAAGCTACTGCCTTCTCAAGGACAGACAAACAGAGAAACTGTGTCATACAATAGTCATAATAGGAAACGTGGCCTTCTTGCATGAGACATAAGCAGCGAACGTACGTGTCCTACAAGTAAAAGCCAATCCTGACCTGTTCCACTTCCACTGACTCATAACAAAATAAAGCAACAATTAACATGAAACCATAGATTGAATGAGTGGTACCTGTGAAGCAGACTGGGCACTTAAAGGTCCCGCCCATGCCCTCGAAGCTGTGCTCAATCAGGTGGCACTGCAGCTTGGCCGGAGAATCAAACGACTGGCTGCACAGCTTGCACTCATGATTCAGGCCTTCCTCTGCAAAAAAAAAAACACACAGACAAACAACATGTGAGTCCACTGCATGAACGAGAGAAACGGCACATTTTTATGATTAAGACGGGAAGTAATAACATGATTTTGTAAAGGAACTAATCACTTGGATGGGGTTGTGCACTTGTACCACGGTGAATGTCAGCTATTTAATTAACCGGCACCAAGATTTATTTAAGAGTGGAGTTAATTAGGCGCAGTCAAATAGAGCAATTCACATTGTTAATAAAGCATCTTCAGTCTCCAGTTACAGTTATCTGAAGAACAATCCATCTTCTCTGACATCTCTATGAGTAAACAAAGGCCATGTACACTGCATATATGTATTTATCTTTTAAACGTAGTGCCATTTAGCTGGGAATACCGGCAGGCTTACTTAAAAAACTGGTACATACATTCCTTAGAGAAAGAATAGAAAGCAAATGAATAAAACACAACTGGAAATATTACATGGAGTTACTATCGCTGTGTTTTTAATATCCCGCAGTATGGTCAAGTTACATGTTAGATCTGTGTGGTGGAGAGTAAACATTATTTGAAGCAAAAACCAAGATACAAGCCAGGAATGTTAAACACTGTGAAATACTGTCTCCTAAGCAACAGTAACTCATTGCACATTTAGGAACATTGTTGTTATAAATAAAAGGTGAAACACTTTGGGTGCATTGTGCTACCCACTCCAAAAAATCCAAGCATATTGAGTATTGTGCAAATTTGATGTCCCATACTCTTCATCCACTGATGGCTCACACAAATGCGTTTGCCTATGTGGACCTCTCCAAGTCAAGTGCTGAGTCAGACTTCCCGAGCATCAATAAAGACCCATAGTGTGTGCCACCGGGGCCCGACTATACTGCTCCATCAAACTGCTACCAGGCGGACTATTACCGGGCCATAGGAGGGCAGGGCGGACCCACTGGAGACGCTTCCCAGGCCTGTGTCTGTGTCGGCGGAGGCAGGGACAGGCCCGGGCTGTGGAACAAACGCACAGAGGAGCTGAGTGGCTATGGCCTGCTGAAGCCAGAGGGCGGGGAAGGAGAGTGGTGAATCTAAAGACTCTCTGCTGAAGTAATATAAACTATACCTTGGAAAACCACAATGGGTTTCAAAAAGGCAGGTCAATCAGTAGGGGCTATTAGTAATGCAGAAATACAAAGACGTAAGGTAATAAACCAGACTACACTAAACTAGAGATGGGGATTTCAAGAAAACAATTAGCCTAACAAAACACATAAAAAACAAACGGATCACTGTTTCACAGCGGATAAGTTGCCCTTAAATGACAATTGTTGGAGTGGGTCTCATTGAACTGCATTAGATCCTCAATAGAAGACTCTTAAGTGACCGTCCTATCATTAACTTAAATTATTATTTTTTCTAATCACAAATACATATTGGCACTGATATTCTCTTACCCTTCTTATGCAAAAGAAAGACAATTGTATCCAGACCTCATGGTCGAAACCTTTTTTCATCCTGAAAATACTCAACCATCAAATCTAAACTCCTGTGTGTGGTATACAGTATGTCTGAAAAATATGGTCTGTTGAGAATGTATTACATTCATAATTGCTCTTGAATTATACAATAACCTTTGTAAACCTGCATGATCGTTTAACCAGAAACGGCACCAGAGTGACTTTAAACAGACAGGAAAGTGTGGGAGGCAGCCACAGCCAAAAGAAACATGCAATACATTCAATTACCAGATGCTATATGACATTTCCACTCAATAACATGCACACAAGAGAGAGCGCTCTTAGCTCTTTCTGCCAGCACAACCACGATGTGTGAATAACAAAAAATAATCTGATTTGAACTTTGAGTTTTACAGAAAAACTGATGTTTGCATGTTCTTCTTGTGACTGCGCAGGTTTTCTCTGGGTGCTCCGGTTTCCCCAATCTGACAATAGTTGGTTTTCCCAAGATGTACAATAGTTCAGGATGATAGCGTTCATGAATTTGGCTGTGGGACAACGAACGAAAATCAGCCTATGGCGGTGTGTTTACTGCACCTGCTTCTCATTGATGCAGAGTTCCATTCAAAAAAACAAACAAATCAAAAATGTAAACATACCACAACAGTCCAAACAAAAGCATTCCAAGCAGCTTGATTATTTGCTCAAATTAGTTATCAAGTGCATTGTCTTATTATCTGATTTGGTAATGATAGAAATGTTTTCCAATGCAGATGGCCCAAAGACAAATGTTAACCCAGAGAGCCAAGAAGGGAAAAATCAAGGTTGAGGAATACTTTATTGTCCCCATATGGAAATAGCCCTTTTATGGAAGAATCTGGGTAATTCAAACGGGTACATTATATTTAGAATTTAGAAAAAAGCATGTCACAGTCAGGTGGTAGTGAACATTCAAACACAAAACTTGTATTGTTGCTTTGCACTTATCTAGGACAATTGTCGATGCATTTTCCCCCTTGACAATCGCACAACAACCCTGATCAAACATTTTTTCCATTTGAAATAAGTTGGCGCTACCATGTGTGGCCACGCGTTTGGCAGATGAGCAATAGCCGACGTTCGTTTGTGTGCGAATGGGCCACTATGTCGTTTGATCCACGCTTGGGTTGGTGTCTGCTCCCATCCCATAATGTGCATCCACCCCTGCGTTTGACCCTCAGCACAGGACGCTCCCAGAGGAGGGCTATAGTCCGCTTCATTATGCAGATCACAGTGCACCTGCCTGCTGACCCTGTAGCATGTGTATGTGTTTGTGCATGTAACCAGGTGCAGGGGTAATAATACTGAAACACAGCAAAACTATGGGAGAAAATGTGACTGTAAAACTATTTCAACACATAGAAGCCGTGTGTTCTGTTTTTAGAAGTTCAGACTAATTGAGATTAATGCATTTTGTACTTCGGTCTGACAGCTGCATTTGGCCTAATTTAGTTTTGGCAAATAAAATGTTTTTTCTGAAAATAACAGACTACTACTGGTGAGTTGGAGTTAAGGACTTTGTGCTTACATATGGTGAATACAAAAGATAACTCTTAAATTATATATTAGATTAAAGTTGCGGGAAGATAAGGAATACATTTTTATTTTCAATGCAGTGGATCATAAGACTAGGCAATCTGTGAAAACTAAAAAACTAAATTTTTTCTCACTGAAATTTAACATAAACTAGGAACAGGAGCAAATTATATATTACAATTGCATATTTAGGCTAAACCTTATGAAAGGCAAATGAAGAGATACAGATGAATGTATCTTTATCTCTGTCCCAACTCAGTTTTTCCCCCAAACACTGAGTTTAGCAGAAAGAATAACAACTCCTCCTCCTCAGCCCCATGATTTATTGTACATTGTCAATAATCGAGATAGAGAAAAGCTGAGATTTTATTGATCTCTTGGTTTTTGGCACAGACTTAGTATATGATATTTTTTTCACACTAACCTGTCACAGTATTATGGATTGACATACACACACACACACAGGGGGAAAAAAATATCTGAGATGAAACTACTTACAGACACAATTTCTTGGTCTGAGCAGAATTAGCTCGCCAAGTAATCTGCCAAGTAAGTTATCTGACAAGACATTTTTACTGAACCCACGACATTGGAATAAGAAAGCATAACTTGGGGTAGATCATTTCACTTTGCAGGTCAAAAATATCAGTAATTCAGGTCTTTTAAGCTAATCCAGAACATTTTTTGCAGTGTAAATACAAAAACTTTGAGGCACACTGCTAGACTTTGCCACTTTAAATACACAGCAGAAAAAATTGCACTTCCGCCAGACGGTAAAAAAAGCTATTTCAATATGTGTTTCAGCCTACAACAAATCTCCACACAGGTGCTACAACATTTGCACTTTACTTTCCTTCGCACTTTTAATAAGGTGGCTGCTGATCCAAACAGATAGACGGCACTGCAGAAGGTGTCAAAATGCAACACGCCTGGTGCTCCAACAAATGGGAGGAAGTGTGTCATGTTTGAGCACAGCTTTACTGGAACCAGCCTGGCAGCCTGGTCCGTGAAGCTTAGCGAGAGCCAGGGGAGGAAGTCAGTGCATTGGCCCCTATAGCCTCCTCACGGACTCCCTCCCGATCTCTGCGGGCTGAGGTCACTTCCTGTTGCTCCGAAAATCGTCCAATAAGCACTGGTTTGGATGAGCCCCCACCCCTCTGTGTCTGGGATATAGTTACAAAGCCACTGGGGACATGAAGGCTTCAGTCTGTATACACTCTTCTAACATCATTATATCATCTTAACTGGGTGGATATTATGTAAAATGTATTTTTTGGAGCTTTCCGAGATAAGAAAATGTTTATTTATCCCAGAGTGGGGGGTTTTAATGTGATTCCCTTGTCAGAGACCTAACTGAAGTGGTTTTTAAGTTTCATTCAAGCATTTTGGAGCAATGTTGTGGTTTCTCCAAGGCAGAACTCAAAACCTCCTCTTGGTGTATTGTACAACACCTCCAGTCATATCCCATCAGATAGTGGTACTCTGCTGCTCAATGGAAAGGGCCTGAGGAGTGAAATGTTGTATGCTCGGAGCAATCATTATCAAACAAAGTAATAAGTATGGACTAAGTAGTAGCGGACATAAAACCGCTACCTTTTTCAAGTTCAATGGACCTTATATAGCGATGAGGCCAAGGTACATATTTTTATTTTGTTAAAGCGCCCTCTGGGTGCAGGATTGGATTTGGACACTGCTCTATCAGCTGTCGGTCTCCAGAGATGAATCCTCCTTCCCAGCGTTTTCATGTGAACAACAGAGAGAGACAGCACAGGGAAGTGTTGGGGAAATACACAGGACTTGTTTATATGCGACTAGGGCTATTGTTAGAGCAGTTTATGGACTTATTATCTACAGTGTCTAGCATCCAGATGTTTTCCAGGTGTTATTTCCCCCCAAACTCTGCAATTACATCATGCACCAACCAAATTCATTCCTCCATTTTTCCTAAACAATTCCAATCCCAGAAGATCAAGAACCGAATAGATGCAGCCGAGACAGTGACCTTCAAGAGCAGCAAAGAATTTTACATCATAGCTAAAATGTTGGAGCGGTAATTGCTAATGAAAGATCATACCAGACCTTTGGCAAAGACAGAGAAGCAGAGATAAGATTTTATTAACATTGAGCCTTTGATAGTCAGACAAGCTGGAACTGTGTGGCTTTCTTGCTCTGAATGACATTCAGATGCAGTGATATGTATGTATTGTTGAATCTAATAAACATCCAAATATGTTGTCTTTCATGTTTTTTTGTTTCTGTGCACTTACAAGTATTTTCTTGTCAGCAGGGTTGCATACAGAGCGCATCCGACTCGAAATGGGAAGCTGATCCGTGATACCTCTATCGACCCAGGTTCACATGCATTTTGAAAAATCAATTCAAATCAGACAAAGTCGTTCATCCGGTTTTCCTGGTGTTCTCATTAACGTACAAACTCACATCTCTATCGGCGAGGATCTTAAACGCTAAAGTGCCTTCAAAACCGCAAATGGAACCATCAGTAAACAACCTAAGATCAGTTTCACCCAGGTTGCCCTTTTCTACTGCCACCAACGGCGTCTCCAAGCACCCCAAAAGTCAGATCCTTCAGACGAGGACTCTTCCCCAGCCTGCTCCCTTCTAAACCTCCCTGACATCTGCATATCCGCGGGGCCCGAGTCCTCCAGCTCGCTCATGGTTTATGTATTCCACGGCTCCTTAAAACACAAACTCTTAATATCTGTCCCATGTGGACGACAGGGAAAGGGGAGAGTGGAAAATGTGCGCTCATTTTGACTTCTTGCTGTATTGTATATATATATCAGGGTGAAGGTTTTGTTGAAGGTTGTTTTCGAGTACTCCTTATGTTATGGTGCACTGCAGGGTGAGCTCTTTCTTCTTGTTCTTAACCAGCAGTTGTTGTTTGTAAAGTAAGGATTCTACAGCTACCACATCCACCACCGCTACGCAGCAAATGTGTAATACCTATTCACACTATATATTACTATAGAATTCAGGTTAAAGCTGTGTATCAAAAGTAGTCACCTGGAACACTTTTTCAATGGCATCCTCACATCATTTTTATGAATGTCGCAGCCAACCACAAACCTTATTTCATGCTTGTGTGGATCAATAGCTGAAGCCGACCAATGACAAAAAAAACCCAGTTCTGTTTAGGTGTGGTTACAACTGAGAGATTTTTATATTCACTGTGATTATTTATGATTATTTATGATATTTTAATGCCTTGTGTGATTGTTTCTAGCTTGTTTTGTTCAGCACTTTGAGGTGCCTTGTGTATAAATTGTGCTATACAAATAATCTTGCCTTGCCATTCTAAATGACCATATACAGTGGTACTTGATACTATTGTTTACAGGGGGCAATAGTACAAAAACAAGGATTTTACACTTGTACTAAGTTTTGTGACTATAATCTAGAATGACAAGTGTACATTGAAATGTTAAGAAAAAGAGGCACATGAGCCTCTCCAAAGCAGTAAAATAATTTAGCAGGATACCATTTTTCTATCTGATTTGAATGCTTTCCAGCCTTAAGTGCCAGATTATTGACAATGAATCCAAGTCAGGTTAATAGGCTGAGTCATGAACTTAAATACCATAAATACCAATTTGTTTATTTTAACTTTTCCTTTTATTGAAGCAACATATCTTCACTCCAAGTATGCTGCTAATTTTGCTGCACCTCTTTTACAACATGGACCAATCTGTTATTACCCCCTCTATGCACTTAGCAAGCTCAGAATTGAGAGTGCGTATTTGGCAGGAGGTCTAATGTTAGACGCTTAGATTTACACTCGTCTCTGGGGCATTGTGAAGAAGGACCGTTTGAAAGTTACTCCAGGGGAAGTTGGTGGCACAAAAGCAGTGCACTAACAAATGATATTAAGGGAATCCATCACAGCACCTCTAAATGTAAGCAGCGGGGGGAGAAGATCGAGAATATTTAGCAGGAGGGATAGGACTGCTGTATTTTTGTAGGCCTATAAGGAGTGTACATTTCAGCAAGAGTATACTCCCGGCTTTAAGTAAGAGGGTAATGGGAACATTTTATAATACCAAGGTTGTGTGCGAAATGTCGAAAATTAAAGTACGAGGTATAATCACAACATCTTGTAAAGAGAAGAAAAATCACCCCATTCTATCAGAGAGTCGATGTGTGATGGACGGTACTCCAGTTTGGGCGACTAAAATCAGAACAAGATAGTTAGGATAGATAAAGCAGAGCAACGTGAGAGCACAGGATGAAAAGAGATTGGAATAGGTACACAAAACAACTGTGGCTTTTTGTTGTCAATTCAGTTCTGTTTATAAGTCGCAACAAAGCAGCATACGGTCACTGTATTCAACATTTATGATTTGAAATGAAGGATAGCAGCTAATACTTCAACCATTTTTACTTAATAGAACCTTGGACTAATTACATGACATACTAACCACAATGCCTTATGTGTCTAACATCACAGTAGAGGTAAAATACAAATGTGTGTACTTATTGTATGGCTTGTCTGTATAGTGTAATTTGTTGGGATACACACAACTTTAGCTATGTGATTAATAAACTGATAAACCTAATCGATCTATTATACATCGAGTTCATTCTTGTATAAACAATTATAAGAAAGAATTTAGAAGAAATAGATTCATTGATGAGCAAGACTTGTCAATGAACAACCAGAAACATGACTACACAAACCTACCGATGTGAAGGAATTACCTCAAGAGATTACGATTCTGTGGTTTGCATCTTTCAAAGTTGTATAAACAGTATATACCACTGCCAGTGAGATTTCAATTATTTTAAGCTCTACATTTCTGAATTCCTTCACATAGAACGACATTTTCAACAATATACGTGGATTTTTGCTTAACTTTAGTCAAAAAGTACATTAGCCACCACCTAACTAGCAGTAACTAGAGTGAAAAGCCTTGTGCCTCTCTCCCAATACCCGAGCAGATGTTGAGACGTTTTGGTTAGTTTGCTCTGTACACAAGATTCTATGGAGTAGAGACAGCTTCAGGCCTGTAAACAGTAGGTGGGTTTACTTGTGTCTTGTCTCTGTGGGAACTATCCATTAACAGATAATGGGAGGAAAATCAGAGTGATTAAGGCCCAGGGAATTATGGCTGAATACAAATTGACTCCACCTCCGTATGCAGCCCTGCGCTTGCTCTCCCTTCCTCTAACGCAAGGTACGAAAACATCAGCAAACAAATCCATTTTCGCAAAGATACTGCAGAAGCCCATTAGGCCGCTCCGAATGCGGCAAATGGGGGCAGGAAGGTGGTGGGTGGTGGAGACGCAGAGGGACCAGCTCCCCGAGGACCAAGGGCTGATTGGAGGAGCAGAGCCCGCGGGGAACTTTATTAATATCCATCTCCTGCCCCCAACAGTTCGAGAAAGGACAGAGCAAATCAAGTGCGAAATGTTGAAAATTAAAGTATGAGATTTAATCATGACACCTTGTAAAGAAAAGAAAAAAATCACCCCGTTCTATCAAAGAGTCGATGTGAGATGGAAACACACTCCGATTTGGGCTTGTAAAATCAGAAAAAGATGGGAAAGCAGAACAGCGGGAGAGCGGGATGGAGAATTCATGGGGGGAAGGTAAACAAAACAACTTTGGCTTGTTGTTAAGGTGTCTATTCAGCCCTGTTTATAAGTCATGACAAAGCAACATACGCTCTCTGTATTCCACATTCATGATTTGAAATGTGGGACAGTAGCTGATATATGTCCTCCATATTCACTCAATAGAACCGTGAACTAACTAATTACATTTTACAGCAATGCCTTTTTGTTTTTGTGTCTTTGTCTGTCTGAAAAAACACATTAGAGATATAGGTTTTCTAGTGGGTTACTACTGAAAAACTACCCCAAACTGAATAACACAGCAAAAATTAAAAGGAGTTTGGAGAAGGAGTATAATGTACAATATTTAATGTAGCAATTGTACAGTACATAACGTATGGGCTCTATAGGCAAACTGAACAAAAACTAAATTAAAGCAATCTACTTGCTTTTACACTGTAAGGCAAATCAATAGTATTCAAAAGTTACAGACTGAGGCAAAACTGGGGAGAAACATAAGAAGCCTAAACCAAAGCATCCATAACTTTCCACCAACAACCAACTTGTAAAATCCAAAATATCAGGGAAGCAAAGCGGTTTGACGCAGATGAGAATTCATGGTTCACTAAAAAAATTCAAGTCTGACTAAAGAGTGTGCCCCTGTATGTCAGGCCCTGCCCCACCCCCATGGGGACCCGAAACGGAGAGCCTGGTTCAGACTGTTGCCAGCGACATGTCAGCTATGGTGATGCTCCCGTACACACGCGCACCGCCAGGGCCAAGAACTGAGTGTGAAAAAAAAAGAAATATCAAAACATGATTCCAGGAGATGTCAGCTGTGATGCATGGCGGATCGTTGGAGCTGCTAATCAGAGCAAGGCTAGGTTCTTGAGCCTACATTTACTGCCTCGAAGCTCCCAAAACGCATACCCCTCCTTCCATACATGCGTAGCTCCCCCCCCCCCGTCCTCCATTTACGCAGGGGACCAGGGAGGCAGCGTGTCCAGATAAACATGCGGGATGCTTGGATGGCCGTTACAAAAGGTTTAGCCGACTAGAACACCTTTTGGAGTGCACAAAGCGAGGAGGGCTCTGTTCTCTGCTCCTAAGCCTGAGCGCACACAACAGACATTTCCACCTGACATATCTGCACCCGGCAAAGGTTCACCGCATTCTTTGTTTTAGTAATTACAGACAATGCGATGGACGCTGAGAGGACAAGAAAATCATCAATATTAAATGGCTGTAATACATGCTATGATGGAAACTACTACCGTTTCATTACAACTGCTATACTGTTACTTCTCTGACTATACTAAGACCGCTGCTACTACAGCTTCCATTTACTGCTTAATCTATGATTCTACTGCTACTACAACAGCAATCGTTCACCATTACCAAGATTACATTTGCATTGGAAGGGCACTATTACGTCTCTATGGTCCAACGCTAATGCTTAGACTTTGAGAATATAGCCTACATACTGTATCTCTATAAAAATAAGCAATTCCACACGGCCGGAAAGATGTTTTTTTTGTTACTGTTTTGACCGTTGAATACTATGTAAATGAATTAATGGACGAGTTAATATAAAAGGTAGTGAAAGTAGGCAAAGTAACAAAATCTCCATTGAGACACGCAACTGGAGCCCATGCGATTTCTCTTTCTATGAAGTTGTGATCATTTCATTGAAAAGACCATTGTCGATGTGAGCGCATCTAGCATTTGGAGTATACAGGCATACACTGAACAAATATAGAAATATGTGTTCTTTGTACTTGTTCAGCTCTCATGATCATATTGTGAGTTTGGCTCAGTTAAAAATAAGGCCTATAGGTCTATATAGAAAATACAAGCATTTTGTGGTGGTGCCTTTGCATGTCCAGTTGGTTACAGATTTTTAAGTGCTCATAATGTTTTATAAAAAAAACAGAGGCTAGTACTTTTGACTGGATTTTTGTAGTCTGTTTTCTAGTTTTAGTAATACTGTATATTGATTTTGTTGTGCCAAAGCCTGGGAGGAAAATAAATTGAAATAGGGATGTCTTTTTATGGCCTTGAAGTGTTTTTAGATTTGTATTTTTGTGGTAAAAATGAACATTGCCAAAGGGAAGTGAGAAGAGATTCTAGGTGGTGGTATTCAGAGTGTCCTAATATTTACTATTGTGTTTGTATTTTTTGCTGAACAGTTTTGGAGGTGGCTAAAACACGGTCAAGTGAGCACAGTGGAGGTCACGGAAGAGAAACAAAACACAAGAATCCAAGCACAAAGACTTGCACTTGTTAACAAATGGTGTGTAGGCAGGTACGGAAGCCCACCGGGGACAAACCCCCTACAGCCACACTGCACCACTCTGGTCTCAGCTCTCTCATTTACTCCTTCCATTCCTATTCTAAACTGCTGGCCTCTTAAAGTCTGCAGGGAGGCACAGGTCAAGAGACTGCTCTGCAACTTTACAAGACTGAAGAAAAGATTTAAGTGCACAAACATCTTCTGTCCTTCATTTAACTGTACTGAGGAAGAGTCAAGTTGAGATACAATCAGAATATTACATTTTTTATTATAGGAGTGTTGCTAATTTAATTGTAGTTATGCATTTATATTAATTTACTAGACCTACATAATTTCAATTGCGTCAAATTGTGAATTTAGTTTGTTTTAACTCATACGCAGACATCTTTATTCAATAGAAACAGAAATGTATTGCGATCCATCCTTGGCTTCATGAAGGGTGAAGATATTATATCAGATTCTGAACAATATACTATTCACTATTCATCACACACACTATGTTAAGTACCTTTTATCATTTAAAGCAGTATTTGGTGGAGTATTTGGATTTGAATTTTTTTTCTCAACATTAGAGGTCACATTTCTTCACTGAAAAACCTACTGCATGTTCATTCAGGAAGCCAAATGAAGACATCACTGGGACTAAACCACAAAAATCAAATCTAAACCAAGACTGAAAAAAGACACCAACACTTTAAAGTAAGGCTTTTCCACGAGAGCGACGAGTGCAGGGAGAAAAAGGTACACAAAGCTAACCTGGATCTCGGTTTCATGTCTCTACAGAATGAGTGGCCTGGATGTAGAAGTTAATTATGGCACCTGCCCAGCCTCGTCCGTCTGTGCCATTGTCAGACTGAAAGGACCAGCTCTAGGGGGGCCGCGCACACAAAGGACCAAGCCCCTCGGTCGCACTCACGGCATGGAGCAGCGCACAATTAGCCGGCCCCTGCGTTATGCGTCGTACAATTATCAGCGCTCGCCTTAATTGACTCCTTTAGCCTGGTGCATAGGGAGCAACCCCCCCTCTTCCTTCTAACTCCGCTACCCCAGCTCATCGCACCATGCCGAGCTCTCCAAAGTCATTTAGAAAAGCGCTCATATTTTCCACACACACACAAAAAAAAAAATGCGAGGGGAGGGGGACATTTGGTGAGAGAGAATTCATCATCAGGTGTCTAGAGCTTTTCCTTAATAGAAAAGCCGAGTCCCACTGAGCGCGCTCCGTGTAGCGGCCAGCCACGCATGCTCGGGACCAGCAAGCCGCCACTCGCAGCGGGCCACGGGACATTAGCATAATTTTATATAACACAGGAAATTTAATACATCTCAGCAAATATGAGACAGGCGTTTTGCATAATTTTTTTTTCTCCCTCTCCCCACCTAAGCTTTCCATCGCTCCATCCACATGATTCTCTCTCCTGCCTGTCTGGTCGCCCCGTGTGGTGTGCCTCCCCCCAGATGCAACCCCCCACCCCCCACCCCCTACCCCTGCTGCCCGGTCCTCTCGTGTCGCCCCATGGTGCTGCTCTCGCTAGGAGAGGGGAAGTTCATTACCTCAGCTAAATCAGAATTAGTCCCTTCATTTTGATGGTGCGAACTTCATTAGAAAGGCCCTTCTTTAATCCAGCGGGGAGAACTGATGAATCTACATGGGGGAAATAATTTGCTTCACGCAGCACATTCAGCCACTTCCTGCACAACGCCGTTTTCTCTTTTCTTTTTTCGATCTGGCTGTATGAACTCGGACTTATATTCTTTTCAAATCAGAGCCAAAACAACAGACAGACTTCTGAGGGAAAACACCTGCATATGATTAAGTGATGGCAGCGGTAGGGTTTACGCACAGAGTGAGTTGTACCAAGTGGAATGTCCCCGTCTGCTCAACAGGCTGCAGGGGTTGGCTCACGCTTAAATATAGGCGGAGGGATACACTTTACGATGAGACTATCGTATTTAAAGGTGTAGTGTGCAACTTTTAAGCTGGACGGTGCTGTATTCATATTGTTTTTCCAGGAATGTTCCTCACGCTGACCTATACACTGTAGAAAGGAGTGGACATAGTAAACAGAAACAAGGGATGTGCATAAAGGAAAAAAAGAATGGGCAAGATTTGGCTTCATTTGGTATACAGTAGACAGTTTTAATCCATCCCTTTCTGTTGCTGCTGAGGGGGACTGGTAAAGAGGAAGAGTCACCATTTCAGTCTTAGATTATGAAAGGCTCAAAATGTTCCATGTGGTTTTGTTATTGTGTTGGTAAATCGAGATATGAACAAACTAATTCCCATATATTGGCTCCAAAGAGTTATTTTTATTTATTGTGAGCAGAAGTGACCCACCTCGCACGTGATTGGATCTTTGGCTGATAAATGACAACTCCCAATATACTTCCAACCTTGATTTGAATTAAGTTATTGGAGTGACCTCACACTCTGTTAGTCCACTCCTTTCTACAGTCTATAGACGTTTTTTTCCCCATATGGCTCATTTTTCCAAAAAGAAAAATCTTTAAAAACATGCATTCTTACTGTGTATGGAGTCGCCTCTCCACCGATCTGCAACATAAGGATAGGAATTCACTTGTCTTTCAGTGTTTAGACAAGCGACTTCATGACATAACCACGCTATGACCAAGAATTATGTTGATATGGTCACCAAATAGAAAATAATTTGAGGTCCAAAATTTGAATGGAAGACTGAAGCATATGAGGAGTTGAATGTTAAATTAGTCATATTAGTTGTATGCCAAACTTTTATACTCAAACGATACAATGAAATGAGAAGACTTCGTATTTAAGCCTAGATGGATTTCTGAAATACAAAGAATAGCAATCAACTAACAAAGTTGACTCATGGTATCCAGAATATAGCAAATTGAAGGGGAAAGTCACTATGTTTTAGGACTTTTCTTTCACCAGAATAGCTCGCTGCACAGTTCCACATGCACGATGCTGTAGCACTTTGGGAGTGACACAATCCAACATCAACATACTGTCTACAAACCGGCACTGCCAATTTCCACAAACGCCGCTGTCGAACTTCGCATATTGAAATCATTAACTCAAATAAAAGCTAAACTTTCTTTCTAGAAAATAATGTGCGCACGTCTATTCAAAAACCATCAGTGAGTCGCAAACTGTGCGGCATACATTGGGTCCATTGGGGGTTACAGAGCCTCAGGAAAGTGAAGATTTAGCTCATGCTCGCACAAACTACACATTAGGGACTATACCTTGTTTTTACTTTTATCGTTGCATTGTTCTGAAGTGTTTCCTGCACTTTTTTGTTGGTTTTATTCCTGTACTTATAACCATGTTTATTTATGTACTTATCTCGTGCACATTGGGGACTTTTGCAAATGCATTCCAATGTGGTTTTACTGCAAAAAGCAAATAAAATCTGAATAAGAATCTAATGTGAACGAAGTTAAACTAATCTTAGTTAATAATACTTCTTTGTTTTCATCTCCTTATAGTTTAACCGTGATTCAAGCTAACCTTTCTCCTTCCAGATCTCACACGAAACAGCAAATATTTTCCGAGATGTGGCTTCGGCTTGGTGTGAAAACTTTGAGCTGTGCTTGTCTCCTGTCTTTGGGAGTGTGGAGAAGTGAATGAATGCCGACAGCGACTGCCTGCCGTACCACTGCGCCTGGTGTCCGACAGATGTGCAACTTGGCATCTCTTCTCTGCACAAAAAATCACCAAGTCTACAGATTCCAGGGTGCTGTAGAGAGACCCCCCTCCAACCCCATTCTCCACCCTACCCCCCCAAACTGTCTTCTTCCTCCCTCATCACCTCTGCACAGAAGGGGCCCACCATGGTAATCTCGTGTCCCTCGAATGTGAAGTCTCCGGCAGCGATGCCCCCTTGTGTTTACCCCCCGCCTCTGGGGCCTGATGGGTAAATTGGAATGGCGCACCCTGCTGGCCTGACGTGAGCGTGGAGCAGACAGCGGTAGATGCACACACGCTGGGGCCCCTCCCACCTCGCGTGTGCTGTCTAATGCAGTGGACATGCGAGTGCCGAGGCAGGCTGAGAAATCTGTCTTCAAGTGATATAACACATGGGTTTATATTCACATGTTTTGGGCAATAGCCTGCTGATGCCACTAATAAAACCATTTCAGCTTTAATGGTGCAGCCTCCAACTTCTATAGCAGGGTACTTGCAGTAAATGTTATTGCTGGACCTGTATTCTGAAGTAATGCATTCAAATTATGATTTTTTTTTTATGAGGGAAAACTATTAGTATTTCCTGAAAACCAAATCCAACCGATTTTGATGGAATAAAACCACCCAAGTGTAAAAAAAAACACAGATGTAAAGCGCAAACATCCTTCCTGCATCAAAAAGCACATACAACTGCCCTCACCTACATTATATATGTTTATGTGTGTTTGTTTTTATGTGTTTATGTTAAAAATGTATGAATCAAGCATTTCTGGTTGTAACATACTATGTGGAATTTACAATATTTCACAACTTTTAACAGTTTAGTATATTTTGATTGTTGTGAAAAAGAGGAAAAAATAATAATGGACAAACGCCTATTGCTTTTTGGAATATCTTAAAATTCTGTGTGATAAAGTAGAGAAAATTCCATGCACATCTATCGGCCTGATCTCATACGTCTCATTTACATACAGATTGAATGTAAGATGAATAAACAGATAGAAGGAAACAGTAGTGATATAGGCCTTGCGCTGGCTCAAATTTGAATGTGCCTCATCTGGAACGACTCAGCTTGGTGCCTTTTGTACAAAACGCACCTGACTTCTGTTGCCATAGTTTCTATTAAGCCTTAAAAGGAAAAACATGCTTTGCTTGCTATGCCATCTCAACACACACCTTTTCACTGCATGTCGACTACAAGACAATGCAGGTTTGATATAAGGTTGTTTTGCAAACAAATGGCTCAAGCGAACACTAAAAATAATGACAGGATTACTCAAAAGAAAACACATTCACCAAATGTTCTATAATCAAACACATTATGATCTCTTTAACTTTGGCACATAAACATTGTATATTAATGTAGATATGGATTACAGTGCAATAAAATACAAATGTAATTATTAACAATTGTTAGTAATTACTAATGTAATTACTAACAATTGCCAATAGACCACAAAACCGATCCTACAAAGATGGCAGAAAAGAGTGCTCCTTCTGGCAACAATGCATTTTCGTATTCACTTGTTTTCTCACACTTTTCTGCAATAGCACGAGTGCTCAACGTCACCCCAGAATGGAGAACGGACGTCAGCGGGACCTATAGAGGCGAAAGATCAGACTGGGAGAAACCACGGGGGCCCTGACTGTCAAAGGCAGAGCTATCTAGGGGCCGTAGGGGGGTCTGAAACATGACTTACATTTCATTACACTTAAACCAACTGTGGGTTCAACTTGGAGCCCTGGATCTGTGCAAAGGCGTCTCAGAGGAGAGAGAGAGTGGAGGTGCCAGAGAAGGCCTGGCACAAAGAACACAATGGTGAAGTGGACAAAGGGGCCACCGCTGGACTAATTGCTCAGGGATAGCGAGGAATATTTTAAGCACTTGTGTGTTAAGCTCACTTTTCACTTCACTTTCATTTGGTCGGAGTAAGAAAGAGTTTTACTATATAATAATATGGCACTGTAATAGGTGCGAATTTGGAAGAAGAAAGAAATGTAATTCAAACGGATATTGGGCATATAAAAGTCTTGTTGCAATATTAAAAGGGCAGATATCCATCAAGAACAACAATAATTACTTGTGGAACAAAGCATCGTAAACCACATAGACCATAATCCTTTGGGCTGTGTTGTCACAAGATGGATATAACTCGGGCAACAACTACACTACACAACAGCGCAAGGGCATCATGAGGAAACTTGTGGAAGGCAAAACCTGTGATTTAATCATTCAGAATTGTTTACAGTTGTTTTAGTTGGTTCTAAACGATGCACCGATACCACTTTTTTCAAAAGTGATACGAGTACGAGTACTTGAGTACTTTCCGATTCCGAATACCGATACGAGTACTTCATTGTGTTATCAATTAAACATTTTAGCAATTGTCAACACTAAGTCATATTGTCTCATACAAATGCTGTGTTGTAGAGTTGGTCTTTTTTTTACTTGAGTGCTAGCTTTGGTGTTAGCAAAGTCACTCGTTTACTTTGAAAACTACGATACAGCCGACATCTTGTCCGCTTGCTTTCGCTAAGCTAGCGGCTAAGCTAAACTCGCGGCTAAGCTAAGCTAGCAGCGAGCGCTGCTGACATTTGGAGATCACCATGGCAACACGTGCTGTCTGCTATCGTGACGCTAATGTAAATTAAAACGTGGATATCTGTTGTGTGGCATCGGGTCCTATCTCGACCCGATACCACACAACAGATCTCTACCTACTATCTCTACCTAACAAGTACAAGCCTATCGACCAGTATCGGTGCTTTCCTACTGAATATTGTATAAATATTCAGGTATACAAATACTGACCCAACGTTAACAAATCATGTATTGATGTTCAATAAATGGCCAAAGCAGACTTAATGTAAGTTTTTAGTTTTCACCCTCATATACCGTGTGCCTCTGCAATAATACCATAAGATCAATATAAAAATTGTATCATACCATGAGATTTTGATATTATTTCATCCCTTGAAGAGACATAATGGACATGAGTGCAGAATGGTTCTTATCTGACTTGGAGTGAAGTCTTTTCAGTCAGAGAAAGAGCCCTTGTCCATTAACACACTCCAGGATGGATCTCCGGAGAGGCCCTCAGATGGAGTGCTCAGGCGGAGCAGAGCAGTATTGGACAGTCCAAATGAAGTTGAATCAGAGAAGAAGGTTTATAAATGCATGGCTGAATTTATATGTTTGTTTGCGAAGCTGAAAAGGCAGTGGTGCAGTTCAAAGGAAGAGGTAGAAATAGTATTTATAGTTTCAAGAGGGTAATGACTCCAGTCCCAAGAGGTCAGAAAAGAGGCAAAAAACATTCAATTGGATTTCATATTAATAAATAATTATACTAATAAGTGCTAATTGCATTAATTATACTCTCCAGTCTGTGTCTGATGATATAAAAATGTTCTTCAATTTACCGTTTTTTTCCTAGGATGCAGGAAACAAGCAACACATACTTGTAATTCAATTTCTGATATATTATTTTGAAATAACACATATTAAGCATAACTTAAGCTAAAGCAATTCAACCACATCTGGGCACGTTTATCATTGTCAGAAAGGATCCAAACAGTGAGTGTTTCTAGTCTTCTCCAGTGATCATTCATGCCTCACGATAAATATAAAACATAACCTACTTCGCATAACAAAGAACGTCTTTTGAAATTCCCTTGGAGTATTATTAAAGCAGCTATAGTATTACAAAACGCTATTATTGCAGCTCGCTTGGGGGGAGCCCTTGCTCATTAGGCTCCTAAGAAGTCTCTGGTTTTGATTATCCCATCCTCTCCCTCCTCTTATTCTAGTGACAAACTCCAGCTATTTTGTTGCCAATCTCCTTCAAGCTGTCATATCTATCTTAAAGATCACAAAAATCTTCAGACACACTTGCGATACGTCTTCAAATTTGCTAGACGCCTGCTTGATTCCCCTATTGAATTTGTAGGATTAACTTGAGGAAGAAATGTCTCAGATTTCTTAAAGGCGGCTTCTGCGTCTGACTTCAGAGCGTGCGATCGTGTGAGAGCGTGGTGGTATTGTCCAGGGGAGGGAACCCTCACTCTAACCGTCAGCACTGCACCAAGTGGGACAGCCATGATTAAAACGCACCGTAGCTGTGACTGACAGACTCCCCATCGCCTCCACAAGATGACATGTCTCCAAGTGGCGCGCAAAAGCAACTCCTCTAATTTTAACTCAGTCTACAACATCGACCCCCTCTGTCAAAACCCACAAAAACAGGCATGCTGCGCTTCTTAACCACAATAAAAGTGATAACAACTAAACTGAGAAATAAGTTTAAACACAACAATGAGGAGAAAAGAGACAAAAGGGCTGAGAAGGCGCCATTTCCCTCCGGTGAACGCACACAGCAGGAACTTGTGAGCTTGTGACAACACCTTCAAACAATTCTGTTACTTTCACACAAATATCTGCTGCTGATGCTCTCAACCACTGCTGTCCCACTGCACATCAGCATGCCAAGCTCCTGCTTACAGGGAAAAAAACTCTCCAAAGTAAGTCTGCTTGACATTTGTCATGCAGCATACAGTCATAGGAGGAGAAGAGTGTGAGGTGAATGTACAGGTGATGCATGTGTGAAACCATGTGTGAACAAAATCATTTGGTCTGTCAACGAGTCATGTGATTCTCATTTCTTCACAATGAGGAGGGCAGAGGGGGGTTTCCTGTTTTTGTCAGGGTCGTGTACTAAATGATTCACAGAAACTGGATCTTTTACATGGTCGTCAGCACTTCAGCTGGGCGCCCTTGTGGGGGAATTCTTTTTGTGTGTTTTTATTGAAGTCTGCACAGAGTGCGCCCAAACGCTCTGACAGGGGGCCCCCGAGGGCGCTTGTCTTCACCTCCAAATCATAAGATAGAGAGACGATGCTCCCTGTGTGCACTCAATTATACCCCATCCACACCCCCTCACCCGCTCTACCCTGCCCTCCCTGCCCCAAAAACTAAAACAGAGGAAGAGGAAAGGCTTCAGTAATGCAGTCCCAGTGGAGGGCAGTGTGATCAGCCCGCACTGTTGGCACGGCTGACAGGCTCGACGTGGCGGTACACTCCCTGTAGTCTGTCAGAGTGGAGCTACAGCATGACGGTTAGTACGCCTCCTCCTGGGACATGGTTTCTCTGCTTACCCCCAGCGGCCCTGCCATGACAGGCCCCTCCTCTGACCCATAGAGAACCACGGCTTTGGCCCAATTACTCTGAGCTAGGTGGGTTAGCACCATGATACCAGCACAAAACTTGAACTACAAGAACATTCGAAATAGTTCAACTTTTACTGCATGGTTTAAAAGCTTGGTTACAATAAACTTGAGCATAATTGATAAAGAATTTTGCAATCACAAATCAAGGTTAAGGCTAATAAGAACAACAACCATTTCCCCATGCATTACAGCCTTGAGTCTTTCCCCAGTGAGCAGCCCCTATGACTCCTGGCGCGGGGCAGTGGGGAGAGCACGTCTGTAATTCGATCAGCGGGCACAGCTGCACAAACAGGGCTACGGCGGTATTTCTGTCGGCTCCACGGAATTGACTTTGCATGAATGGCTCCTCTCTTCACTCCAAAATGCTCCGTTTTCCACATGTCGGCGAGTACACGACAACCTCTGCGCCTTATTATCCTGGAAGAGCACTCCCACTAAAGACCCCGTCCAAAACCCTGATGCCTGACCTGTCAAAACCAAGCAATGCTCTGGAAAAGGGAAAAAAAAATTACAAACAAAATAAAGCAACAACCGCTGGCAGGGTCATGGGGGCATGCGGTCTGGGGGCCTGGACTCTGGCGGGGTTCTGTGATTGGTGAAAAGGGCACAGAGTAGAAGGGAATCTTTTCAAAGTGAAATCTCCAGCTGACGGCTTAGTGCTCCACGCAGTTTGTTTCTCTTGCTGCTGTCAGGAGTTTTCGCCATTTGGAAGGATTAGAAAAAGCAAGAAGGGGGAAAAAACAGAAGAGAAACTGGACAGGGCAAACCGTGTAGGGTCTGAGTGATGGACCTCTTGGAGGGTGATAAACCTATGACCTTGACGAACCCCCACGGAGACCCCTGAACTAAGACCTCTGGCACGGTGCCGCGGACAGGTGCAGGCGGGAGAGTGACCATGCCGCGCAATACGAAGCGGCCAAAAACACAGCGTTCTGACCCTGTCCTGATGGCCGGCTTCTCCAGGAATAGCTGAGAAAATTGGAAAAGTGGACGGGTTGACATAGAGATCGACAAATCGTTAAGATATAGATCAGAGTGGTTTTAACAGATGGGTTTTTGTGAGTCATTATTGTCACTATGTCAAGAAAAGAAGTCAACAATTCTGTCAAAGGATTATGAATAGCCATTCCATCGACGGTGAGGTGGAATTGTGTTATTATACTGCTAATGAGATTCCAGTGGAGTCACATTTTGGTGAATACAAGCTGCTGAGGTGACAGGATTGCCAAAACAGTTGGACATGGCACATCTGATCCAAACCAGGGAGAACCAAGCAAAAACAAAAACAAAAGAAGAGTAAAAAAGAATAAAAAATGATCAACAAACCATTAATGGCCAGGAAACAAGACATATTCGCATGACACATGTCATTGGTCGCTAGTTTAAAGAAGCATGGGAATACAGCCGAAACAAAAGCAGTACAAAAGCACTTTTTAGAGCAGAAATATAACACTCTGACAAATGGTAATAGAAAGAGGCAGTACAGTGACTAATGTAATGTGCAGGTAGTGTGAGTGATGCTGAGCAGAGCCTGTTCCTCAACCACAGCGGGCTTTGAGGTCGCTGTGGTCCATGCCAGTCTTTGTGCAGATCCACTTCCTCTCCCCGGGCACCTCCCTCATGTTGTTGGCCCAATGATTCAGTGCCTTGCATTAAGAGCAATTCACCTGCCTCCGGCGTCCCAGCGGCACTGGTCCCCCGGGGAAACCAGGTGGAGCATAAAAAAGTTCCACATATGGTAAAGTCAAGCTGCTCCGAGGCTGCCGACTGTGTGCCGTGGGGACGGAGGCTCCTAAAAGGCCCAGCTGGCACTTGGAAAAGGGCTTGTGCATTACTACACCTCAGTGCTGGTTTGGGCTCCCCTTTGGAAAGTGTTGGCCGGCGCTCATGACCGACCATTTTAGATTTCTGCCTGTACCCCCCCACCACCACCATCCCGCCTTCCAAACGGGTCTGTATCCAATTGAACATTTGGTCCTCCACTGCTGGTTAATCAAATTCCTCCATCTGGCCCCCCATCCCTGTGGAACACAAAAGGTGCAGCCTGAGCCCTGGTCCAAGTGCATATTGGGAGGGAGGAGGAGAGGGGCATGGAGACAGGGACTGCCTACCTAACTTACACAGCCCAGTCAACTACATCAGGTAAAGTGTGCCAGACCGGAGTTTTGGGCAAACAGTAACAGCTTGGGAGTGAGTGTCTGAGGCCTGCTGTTCATATAGAGCCCAGGGACGAGGCGCATCATGCGACAGTAGGAGGGTTTATGAGCTAATACCTTCACATACACTGTAGAATACTGATAGAGTGAGTCTAAGCACTGTGAGCTTGGTAGACGAACACGATCAGAGTAGTCAGATCTTTGAGGCTGTAGGGGATGCCACTTTGAACTTAAAATATCAGCAGTAGAATAACCCACCCTCAGATGGCCGCTATTCATATGATTAAACTTAACATTTGGACATACTTTTACAGAGATACATTGAACACATGTTTCAAGAACAAAAATAAAACACACTGGCTGATGAGCCACAATGTCAAAGGAAATCATAGGTACACAAACCAAGAACCCCACTTAAAAGAAGCAGTCAACTTGATGTTATCCAGCCTGAGATCAAAAAGCAGTCCAAACCATTTATTCCAAAAACATCCCAACAATCTCAATCCACAAATAACAACAGGAATGCTAACCATGCCAGTCTTCCAACTTGGATATAGTGATACATAACTAAATGTACATTATATTAACTGCTTTGACAATGAAACGCAGCATTGCAGGAGTTTTTTTTTATTATTTTCTATAAATGTGTCTCCAAACCAGACCAAGAACTCTAATGTTTTGTTCACTTGAGATAAAATTGTATTGCCTCCTCCATCAGTTTGAGGTGAAGATGGGGGTACAAATGAACGCCACAGCACCACATGGCACACCTCCTACTCGACACTAATATCTATCAAACAATTCCAATTCATGTCCGACCCATCCTATCCCAGCCAGGTGGCCAAACATGTGTCAATAATTAAACTGCTTTTTACATAACAGCATACAGAAACACAACGCAATTTGTCGGCCATATTTCATTGGGCCTTTATGAAAGCACATGAGAGCTTGTAATTAATCAAACCGCTGGAATATGTGAACGGCAATTTCCACCTAATGGTACTTACAGGGATTGGGTCTCTTAAGCGCCGCGTCCTGTCTGCCCAAACGAGCCGGATTCATTTTTATCTGCGCAGCTCAGACAGCAAAGTGTGAAGATGTTAAACAGCACCCATCTGACATGGGCAAAAGAGAAAAATGAATGCGTAAAGGTAAGACTAGGTTGCAGTGTTTTTGGTCGTCTATATGGTTTAGGCACAAACCATTTACACAAGTGTTGATATGCTATTGGTTTTGCCAATCCGCGATACACACTCACTGCCCAATAAAATCAGAATGTGGTGTTTGATTTGTCACATTTTTTTTACTATAGAATAATCGGTCATGCAGTGTTTTCTTGTATTTACATTTACTTTAATTTCAAATCATTTTTCATATTTTAAATTTACATATCAGACCCAATCATACCATAAAGTATTTTAAAAGTTATTAACTGATTGATAAAGAATCCAATGTATATTTCACACACAAGGCACGGTGGCCAAGTGGTTAACTTCCCAGCAAGAAAGTCCAGGCTTAGAATCCCATGTCAATAGGTAATAGTCCTGACCAAGCTGAGCATCAATGCTTGCCATAGCAACAGTGCATGTTCAGGCAAACCACAATAAATGTCAATAATTGATTGGCCTTGAATAGGATACAATACAATTTTAAACGGTTAAACATTATTTAGCTTGCTCTAAAACCCATAGTACTGTATATGTATGAATATCTGATTATCACAATTTTTGAAACCTATTTTCAACAAATTCTCCTCCACTAAAGAAAACAAAAAATCCAAGTACCACCAATGAACATCAAAGCCTTCTCTAACGTCTACTTTAAAATCTCTTCAATAATCTTACAACTCTCGCCTTGACCTGAAAATCCTGATACATTCTCTGCATTGGCCCTAACCACTGGGGGCCAAACCACCACCACCATCATCTCCCCAGTTGGGATCAGTGCCTTGCTTTTAGTGGCTTTCTGAGCTGAAGTCTTAGCCTAAATGGCACCCATGTCCCTAAAAGTGTCTCTCTCTCTCCCCATGGGCCTCCCAAGACTCCTCTAAGTGCAGCATCTTGTTACAGTAACTCAGCCGGGCCCGAGACAGTGGAGGAGAGAGAGGAGGCCATTGATTTTCCCCACCCCCTTTTGGTTCCTCCTAGACTTGCAGTAAGATCTCTTCAGGGACTCCTGGATGTATCAGGCGTTATGGGAAACAGTGTCATTGCGTCTAAGGTCAGGGTTTTAGCTTTGAGTGTATTTTTATTGGTACATGATGGACGAACAAAGCTACGGTGCCATGTCCGGGATGGCAGACATATAGTATTAAAAATGATGGAGGAATTTGATCCACTGTGGAGACAAGGAAAGCTAACTGCTGCTAAGTAGTAAGCTTTTAGCGGGCTCCATAGGTAATCCGGAGTCTATAAAAAGGTGCAGTTGGATAAATAATTGAGGAGAAATGCCGGGACTATATCACTAGTTCGGCTTCATGCTTCATTTCTTTGAGTTCAAGGGAGTTTGGAAGAGAAAAAAGAATAATGACATAGAAGATTTGGCTTTGAGTACAGGCCATTTCCAACATTATTACTATTAGATTACGGTGTGGCTTCCATCACGTTATTGAAATAATTTGTTATTGTTACAAAAGAGATAAAAATCCATATGATTGGTATTTGGTTAGAGTAACAGCTAAGCTCGTCAATCACTTTGAAGATCTTGGCTGGCATTCATAGTAATGTTCCCCCCGACGATGCTACCTCCAACACTAAATGCAAAACATGTAATTAGAAGGTATCAACACATTCTTTTAACTTTGCATCAAATCATGTCCAATTTGGATACAAACATTTGAGGAGGATGCCATGCTCCCTCACCTCTGCCGTTGGCCTCAGCTACAGGTTTGTTCTAGTATCAGGCCCTTGTACATCTCTGAGGGGCCCCAGGTTGCATCTCCTTCTCCTTTTCCGCCTTCTTTACTCTTTCTAATCATTGGCCCTGTGTTTCCGCTCAATGCCAGGCTACTAAATTCTTAATAACCGCCGCTAACTCTGAGCTTGAACTCACATTCATTTACATCTTATTGAGCTATTCTGGCACTATTAAAATGCAATGCAACTTCCTGTCGGTTCTTGATGTGCAGTCATTTTCAAAACAGAGGGCCGTTCTTGTGAGTCATTAAGGCAAGAAAAGTGAAATAAAATACAAGAAAAGATCTATGTATTGTTTATTAGCACCTCGGGCTTTTTACCCCCAAGGCATTCTGGGTAAGGGAGGAGCAGAGGTCAGTGCAATTACCATTCTGTGCTTCCTCAGAGTCAGACAGTGCGAAGACATGCATTGGCAAATTCCATGGCAGAATTGTATATCGCATTAGCATAAAGCCCCGAAGAGCTAACCTTTGTGCGATTCCATTTGATTCAGAGGGAGAAGCAGGCCAACTGATGGCTTCATCCGACCCTGCAGTTCATGAGTTCTTCTGGCTTGTGTTTAAGTTTTTTATGATTTTTTAAGCCCATATTTACTATTGAGATTTCTGAAAAAAGTAGTATAACTCAAAATGTAAGTATTGGTGCATTTTTTTTGTTTCAATGTACTACTTTTGTGCTAATCCTTTTGATCATAATGTTCTGGGCTAACCTTATGATATATGATTTACTGTGAACTGAAATCTGTATTAATTTATTTACTCTAATTGTCTGTAACTGGCTCTAAAGAACAAACAGAACAGAATGTCGCTAAAGGGCTTTCAGACATGCAAAGGATCATATAAAACTGATGTCAAAGCTTAGAATAGATTTGGTATCAATATTTGCATAACATCACCACTCAAATTAGCACTATGGGCCAGTATTGATGTATTGATACCCTGCCCCCCTTCCAGTCTATATCACATTCAATCACACAAAGTACACCATGTCCTTTCTCCTTTCTAAGCCGTAGAATTTTGCCAACTCATACTCCACCAAGTTTATATGTGTGTTTGAACAGGGCCAGAAGTGTCAGTAGAGATCAAAGTAGCATTTAAATGCAACTTTAGACTTTATTTGAGCTTACACAATTACAATGTCTTTTAAACATGTGCATGCATTGTTATATGCATTTACATTAAACAGAAATTCATGTGAGTAGTAATACATAACATATGCCAAAAACAATATACACAGCTCGAAAAGGGAGTGAGACGAAGTAAACTTGTGTACTTCCACCCCCTCTCATTACAAACATAAGCGGTTGCGATTTTTTATACAAACATGCATTTACACAACACTGTTAATCAATACAAGAATATGTATTTTCAGCTGATGCCTAATATTCTACTGGAAAAAATAAGTACATCCCTATACGTGATGCTTACCTGAAGATCACAAATGAAACACTCTAATTCTATCTTCATCTCTGCTTGTTGCTGTACAGCTTGCATTCTAAGAGCCTAAAACAGTATAAAAAGTACTGACAGCCCTAAACGCCCGCGCTGTTTCCAGAGTTTTTCGTGTTTGTCTTTTGGTCTTGTGACTGCTCTAGCTAAAGATGTGCTTTTCCAAAAATAAAGCGTCGGGGGACATGAGGGATCATTGAATCATCCTGGGTAGAATATCGCATCATCTGAACCTATCCCAGCTCCTGTCTCCATCCCTGCCTCCGGAAAACAGCGCTCTCAAATGCAGCGTGCAGCCTCAAACCTCTGCGTG